TATGTGAATGTTGCACCGAAAATTTATGTCAAGGAATTTTTAAGTCGGGATAGAATCGATTTCAGCTTCTGACAAAACACAGTGAATTGTACACCATAACTGATACAAGGTGTACAATCAAAATGTCTTATGACTTCGGACGAAGGCACCCAATATTGCGAATGTACACATAAGTGCACTCCATTTATTACATCTCTGGTTGACTAGGGACTTGGTCTTACCCTGTCCCGGATTTCTTCGTGCAAAGAGCAAAGGTGGGTTGTGCTTTATCTCGTATACTCAAATTGAGAAACGGTCTGACCGGTGGCTAAATGTGTAGTATGATTGCGTTCTACTTGGGAGGTCCTGAGTTCGATCCCGAGCAGGGTCGAGGGATTCACAACTCACTTGGGACTGCACCAGTCGAAATAGTTGTTCAGTTCACGCTTCATATGCCTTTTACTCGATGAATTTCATCGCGGGATTCCTGGTTTTCTACACGCTGTTTGACTGTAGTTTTCGTGCGCACATGCTAGCTTTCAATATGTGACTATTAAATAACGTATTCTATTCGCATACCTTAGTTATTTGACTACTGAGTCCTAAACAGTCATCACTTTGCAAAAGTCCATTTCGTATTCACTACAGGTGTGCTTGTCTCTCCAAGGGAGAGTGTTTTGGTGCGCGCGCGCGGGAACACGCACGCACGTATCCAGTGGTTTGTGCACCCGTTCCCAACAGCTGTTTTGTCCGGCATTCGTTACACCTCGACCTAATGTCTGTGTCAGAGAAAGGCGACACATAATAATAGTAGATCAGACTGGTATAATGCGGCAATTACGGTCTGTTTATCCACACTAACTTTTTTATACCAATTTTCAATAAACTCTTATCGAACTAATACCAACTAACCTAAATTGCCAAACAGATATTCCCCTGTGTGTGTTACATTGGTATTTAGCACATATCATCTGACCTGGTGGAGTTCATTCGAATTGCATGTGGACCACTGAGACATACATAATCGGACAGTGAGACACTTGTATATATGTATGTGACTGCGTCCGGCAATTCGGCCTCGTGTTCTGCTCAAATTGTCCGAACCACACACACATACAACCGGTCCGACCCCTTTGAACGCAGGCGGGTGTGTTAGTAACGGTGACTGAACGAGCGCTGAGTGATCATTCGTACGGGGACATTCCATTCCACTGTGGAATTCCGCATGCATGCGCGCGTGTGTGCATGAAACAGGAGCCTAGATCTGCTTTGCACGAGTTTCGGAGGTCGAATGTCTGAGAAACAGAGCAGACAGGATGCTTACGCAGGCTAGTGCAAACCGGGTGAGATTGCCTGGTCTCATTACGTACGCATGTGTGCTTTTTATCCCCCGGGTGGAGGAGTGCAGTTTACTGCTTCGTGGTGTATTCACATCCGAGCACCGGCCGAGTATGCGGCACGTGCTGAATAACGACATTGTCGCGAATGTCCGAACCAATGAAACCAAAAACAGGGAACTGGGCGTCTGTATTCACCCGTCAATACCTGTGGTGGTAGTAGACACTAACACACGTACAGCCCGGTGTACGTACAGTAGCGACAATGGTATGCGATCGACCCCGATTGAACCCGCAGACTAGGAGAATATATCAGTGCATATGTAAGAGAGCGCACATGTTAATAAATGTACCTATTCATCATCTGCTCATCGGATCGGTTTATCAATGCACTCACTACCTTTTCGATCAAAACAAGCCAATTCAATAGAAGCTGCGAACCCGGTAGATAGAGATTAGAAACATACTGCAAATGTGTAGTGCAGCCGAAAATCACAACTGTTCGACCATATTGTCATATCGTTTGTTGTGATGAGGAAAATGGATAACACTTGAACGCGTCGTCTCCTTATCCTGTTCGAGCAATGAAAATGAAATACATCCGAATCTGATTTGAGCCAGAGCGGCTAGTACTTTATGTAGCCAATATTGGTGTACTTCTGTCCGGATTTTGACAGTTAACCACTAATTTCTTCTTGATGACCACACTCGGGGATACTAAAACTAACAGTCACTTTAACACCGCCCCCTCCTCCCTCCGGCATCCCCCACCACCGATCAACTTTCAATGTTATATCCTTAGACAGCACCTAAATGGCTGCAGACCTGACATTTTCTTGAAACTTGTTTAGGCCTTTATTTGTTTAACAAAGGTGGTGAAAAGAATGGCCTCAGTTACTTTCAACAAAGAGCAGTGAACTTTTTAGAGATCTAGATTAGATTTCCGCTAACAGCTGGCTGACTTACTGACTGACTGACCGATTGACAGACATAAATGAACTCAAGTGATTTGCTTCTTATTTGAGGTCTCTTTTGTTGAAAATATAATTGGTTACGACAATTGACTGCCACGTGATACAAAGAAAGAAGGGAACAAGTTTGGCGGTGACGGGGTTCGAACACACCTAAGTTGTGGTGATTGACATCGATTGAGCATTGATGCTCTAAACTCTCAGTGATTCCTAACATTACAACCACGAGGCGAATTGAACAGTTTGCACACACACCAACTTGGTTGAGTGGGATTTAAATAGGAAATACGAACTAGTGCAATCGGTCTAATGTGCCATTTTCACACGTTTTCGCTGTCAAGTTGAACTACATCTCGTCGAGAAGCATTCTTATTTTTACAGAATCCTTGCTCTGCTCATCGCACCTCCTAAAGCACCTGAAACCCGATTCGGAAATGCAGCAGTACTCCAGGAGGACGCGTACATTGACCACTAACACATTATTAAAATGACAGTTATCGAACATTAATGAAGTCATTCACATTATTTTACTGTTCCATCGACTTTCAGGGAAGTACGGCACTGATCTTGGGAGGAATGTCGTTTGCATGTTAAATGGTTAATGACCCTGTGAGACACAGCATATGAATCGAAACTTAACCGTCCGTGCATCATTGTTGATTAGTACGGTACAACGATGAAAGGGTTTCTTATGACGTTTAAATTTAGAACCATTGAGAATCAAGCCATTGAGGTAAATATTAGTCACTCAGAGTGGAAGAGGTACACGATCGACAGGCACACACCAAACCACACTTGGAGAGTTTTTCATTTAGGATTCAGGAATTAACACACAATGGAATAATATTTGATACATAACGCAGATCCCGCCGCGTTTACCAAGCACATGCAACCAATTACATGATGTCATGGTAGGTTCGGTCTGCGGGTGAGGATAACAACGCGAGTATTGCAGAACAATGTGTGTGATGAGCAGTAGACGGGACGAGCCCCATAGTCACGAAGATCTGCTATTCAGTTGTCATAACCAGCCACGGGACTTGGGGTGGCGAACCACATAAGGTCCCTTTAGGTCAGGCATGGTATTAAACCGGGCGACAGCAAAGTTGGGTGGCGGTGCTGGGGATCGAACCTCAAACGATAGGGCCCAAAGCATGCCGATGACAACAACCAAACCACTGCTCCACCACCACGATGATAGTTGTTAACCCCCAAGCGTATCATATTTGTATGGCACACATAATCCTGGGTCCATTCTCCCGAAAGCAGTGATACCATCTGTATTGTAAGCACATAGCACACGTCATTTGAACCAGTGTTCCATTTTGACGCCCGACAGTAAGTAACTAGATGCCTACATGAAAGGCAAGGCAGTCGAATTAACAGTCGGTCGTTAAATCGTCGACCAACAGCGGAAGTGTAATATCAACGAAGGAATGCGTCATACTTTGACCAGTTTTGCGGTGTCCACGTACATAATGTTAGCATAACGTGAAGGAATGTGGGGCCGCGACATGTTACGAGATCGAGCAATATGTCTGTGGTCCGTAATCAATGCGGTGCCGTTTAATGGGTTCATTTGGAATAGACAAAGAGCCTCGAAACGGTACCTCCCTTCCGCACAGATGCAGCCGGAGCTTTCACTCTCTATCTATCCACAACTAGAAAGACAGACAGAGTAGGAACTCCGTGCGTGCCCTGCACCATATGAGCGGCCACAACACTGAGAACCTCAATTTCCATTCGAGTGCATGCGAGGAGTGCGTGAGCAAGATGCATATCAGCCGTTTTTCGCTGGTTGGCGATCTTCTTTGATTCAGCGAGGCACACTCACCATTCTTTTTACTGCCTCTATCAAGCATCATAGTACAGATTGTTTTAGACCAGGAGACTCATCACCCAACAACCTAACAAGCAGTAGTATAGATAAGTGTACTTCTAGTTCACCCACTGAAATCTATGTTCCTCGATCTTCCATTCGTTTCCACCAGTTACCGGTCACGTGCGTGACAACCGAATTGTCCAGCTCCAGTCATCCCATTCAAAAGTACTGAATAAAGATGGAACATTCGATTGTTGATCAGATAGCTAACACATCACCCTCTCTCTCGGATCGGTGAATTCTAATAATAACAAACAAGCGAAGAAAACAAGTGGAATAAAAACGACAAATCCAAATAGATCGGAAAAGTGCACTTACCAGGCTTCTGACAAACCTCGCGATAGTCCGGACAGCAATCGTTTGTCAGAGTGCAATGCTCGTCGCAAAAACAACGTTTTTGCGGTATGGTAGATAAATGTCGACGTACCCGGGTAGTGTTAGATGAAGAATAGTCAAGTGTGACACTGGAACACGTCGATTGACGACCACGACAACACATGGCCAAACCGGCACTTGTACGACATCCGGCCTCAGCCAACGGGAGAAACAGTTCAGATAGAGAGAGAACGAGTAGAAAGGCGAGAAACGGAAACCATGATGAGGATACAGACAATGTGCCGGGGGGCGGGGAGATGATAGAAGAAGACAGGGCGGAAGACGACGAGGAGGAGGAGGAGGGCATGGTCCGGCTGAATGAGTTAAATAGACGAGAACCGCGCAATTGGGATTGCCGCTGCCTGATCCCCGAAGAACGACCACAGTCGCGGGCTTTTGGTTCGTTCAAGTTGTTTGAGCTATGCACAACAGGCCGGCTGGCACAAGTTAGATCTGGCAACACCACGTAACCGAGCACGGTCATTGTCACGCGGGTGCTAAATATATTGTGCGTTTGTATATTTGGAGTCCGTTTGCTTCCCGTTGCACAGGCGGTCACAAGCGCGCACACACACAATCAAGCAGATGCAGTTCAATGGAGCTAAGCCTCGGTTTCAAATTCTCCACGTCAGTCTGTCTGTTTCCAGGGCAGTATTGATAGCAAGGTAACGGTGTTTTCATAAACCGGCACTTCGAGTTATTTGTCAGGGTGTTCGAGTATACCTATTTCACACACACACACACACACAAGTTGCGTACGAAATTTTGAAAAAAGTAAGTTGTTCGTTACTAGGCGCGCAAGTAGTTGTCGATTTGTGAACGTGAGCTGGTTCGCGAGTCCCGGCTCGATCACAATTATGCACACGTTCGTAATAGTGTGCCTGAGTCGTCACAGATTGAAATCACCGTTCTCATGGATGCCACGATCGTGTATATGCGCGCGTTTGTCAAGTACGCGTTTGTGGAACTAGCTGAGTGCAACGGTTTAAGTGGCAGTATTTTTCTTTCCTTTAACCGGTCGTAGATTTGGACCACGTTGTCTGACTACTCATTTTTCATCAGGGCTCGTTAGACTGACACGCCCACCTGAAACCCCAAGGTGTGCAGTGCGTGCGCGCGCGCACAACATTTGACCTATCTGCTTCGGCCGTACGATTTGCCCTGTTTTGATTGGTTCATTAGCCGTGTTGGGAGTGTACGACCTTGGCGTGTGACCTGTACAACACACACGAATGACCGAATCCCGTGGAGAGCGAATAGTTAGTTATATGTTCACCTCTATACGAATTGTGATGATGTGTGTGCGTTCTTGTGCGACTGGGTTGAAACGTTTGTCGGTTGAGGTGCAATCATCACCCCGGCAATTTTAACCGGTAGCCTAGATACGACAAATTACCCTGGAATTTCGAGTAGTATGTAGCATCAGTAGTATGTCATGCAAAATAACAATTGTGGTTTTGTCACATTTGACTGTGAGTGCTGCCTCAACGAGGGAACCAGGAAAACATTACCCCTGTTACCCGGGATCCGAATACCGCAACAAGTCAAGAAGTTCAGGACTAAGATTTAGAGTGTCACAATTGCACATGATAAAATGATGATTTGTACAAATCAGAAGAAGCATAAACGTAAAAGTTATGAAGCCCAGGGAAAGCTATTTCAACTTTGCTGTGTATATCTCATGGACCTAACCAGGAATCTCACAGGTAGGTAGTAAACGTAATCTCAACTTGAGCACCGGATAGCTGATTAGGCTGTTTCACGTTTCCCACAAACTATCCTTGCAAGCGCTTTTAAAACATCAAAGATTGTTCATTTAGGAACTAAATTTCATCGGATCATAAGCCCTTTGGACGGGACCAAACGTCCAAGGTGCCCAATCGAACCGGTTACCCCTACCACAACCAGGACGTTTTGTATATGGTTCGTATCCCTCCTCTTGGTTGGTTTGGAATCAGGGTTTTTGGTTTTTGGGTGAACAACCCGGTTATAGCCCCGGATGTCGGCGTTTTATCCTCTCACTTTGGTGGAGGAAAACACCTCCGCTAGCACGAGAAGGTTGCAGTGAGTAGGGTTCCTCAGCAGAGACTTTTTGAGACGTTTGGTCATGAGAGAATTCCGAGAGGTGCAAGTCAAGGGTGACCAGCCGCAACCCTACACACTCAACCCCGACCATGGTGAGGTTTCTGCCTTGTATGCGACCATTATGTGCTGAGCGAGTTCCTAATCACACCTGTTCGTCACAAACGGGAATACCCCAGAATATCAGAAATAATTTGTTATGTTTCAGAACCCGTGTGGTTCGCAGAATGATTGATTGGATCGCTTATATTGGAATGCGCCTACATATGTGGTTGAGTGTGACCGAACTCGACAGGCAAAACTCATCGAACTTGTGTGTACATGCCTATGTGTGTTGTAGCCCTGGAACCAGTGGCACAGCAGTAGTTACACGGTGTTTGAACAGAGAATGGCCAATTTTCAAACAACAAATAACATATGCGCTTGATATGTCAGGTCAGGTTGATTCATAGGACTGGCGGTTGGTGCCAGCGAGAGTCCAGTTTCTTGCGCAATCGAACTCCAATTTTCCTAATGCGCTTCGACAGCTTCCGAACTTCTATTTCCCGTAGGTTTTCTCCTCAGCGGGATCCCGGAGAGGCCGGGTAGGTGTCTGAAAATGACTTCTGTGAACCGGAGACAGAAAACAGTCTAGAATCTCGAATCTAGCTACGAAGGGAAGGGATAGAGACATACTTTAATGTATCAAGTGAAAAGCAGTTGACACCCCACTAGTTGGTTTGTAGGAGGGTTACCAGTTATTCGTAGGTTTCAGTTTCCGTGGGGCGTCCTGATTACTGCCGACTGCTGATTTTATTCCTCTTTTTCACGTTCAACCATGGGTATGCAGGGATATGTACTCATGCATACATAATACCATACGCTCATACCGATTAATATACTCCAATGCATGCATACAGCATACCCACACGTGAGTACATACAATCATATATCCATCCACACCATCGCGTGCACAGATGCACATGTGCATGTGCATACATTGGTCCATGCTGGTAACCATCCATACTGTCCCGGTGGAAGAACTAGAGATGTGAGTATCTCCACTTGGTGGTAGCGGTTGCTGGTCGATCGCTCAGGAGGAACACTGGTCTCGATCCTCCCGGTTTTGTTATTGTTTTTTTTGGTACAACCCTTTCAACTATGCACTACGCATGGGCATTACCTCGGATTTAAGTTCTCACATGCTGTAAGGTGGAATGATGGTCAAATTAGGCCAAATCAGAGGGAGAGATTAGTCGAGGAGTATTTGGGCAGCCGTTACCACATCACTCTGGAGGGTCATGCATACTTGACCATCAGGCATTCTAGTGGGATAAAAGAAATGAAAATATTGGAAAACAGGAGTTTACTTCGGAGCTGGGCACCCTACAGTTCAGAGAGACATTTGGCTTATTGGCATTGCGGTCACAAAAAAGGATCAAGTGATTACCATTTCCAACGTACAGACGATTGTACTCCGTCAACCTCGTTCATAGGTGTGACGCAATTAGCGTCATCGTTCAGATGTGGCTATTTCAAATCCATTTCAATGCAACGTGATGCCATGTGATCGATACCAATATAATTCCATATTTTCCGATACCAACGAAACCAATGAAAGTTATGTGATAAGATGCATGAAACAATCAGCCTGTAAGTGGAACGTACCCGCTCATAAAAAAAACCAATTAAACAACCGCTTTTGTGCGTGTGTGCGCCTATGTCCTATTTGTATCTTCTTCAATAGCTCTAATTACTGATATTTCAAATGCTGACTGTCAGATTGATACGAAGTATGTAAACAATGCATGTTCGCGCGGGCACACACACACACACACACCTTTCATGCCAATAAACGTAACGCGGTTACAATTTTACCCGTGTGGATTTGACAAATAACTCCAATTGTCAACTGTGAAGAAATGTGGGAGTTATCCTTGGTGCAAATGTAGACATGCCTCCGTGATATGCATGATCTCAAGGTAAGCAACACAGATCTACATTGATTGGAGTTGCATACGCGGTCACAAATAGGCATTTGTTGGATTTGCATTTGGC